GTAATCTAGAAACTGCCAACACACAAAAGCCCAGGGTCGGATGGTTTCAGAGGAGAATTTTAGAAAATATTTAAGAAAGAGCTAACCCCTGTCCTTCTCAGACTATTCCAAAAGATCCAAGAGGAAGGAACACTCCCAGACTCTTTTTATGAGGCCAGTATCACCCTAATCCCAAATCCAGATAAAGATCATACAAAGAAAGAAAACCGCAGGCCAATTTTGCTGATGAACATAGATGCTAAAATCCTCAAAAAAATATTGGCAAACTCCATCCAGGAATACATTAAAAAGATTATCCACCACGATCAAGTGGGATTCATCCCAGATTTGCAGGGATGGTTCAATACATGCAAATCAGTAAACATAATACATCACATGAATAAAAGAAAAGACAAAAACCACATGACCACCTCGATAGATTCAGAAAAAGCATTCGATAAGGTACAGCACCCATTAATGATCAAAACACTCAGCAAAATGGGATTTAATGGGGCATTTCTCAACGTAATAAAGGCCATATATGAAAAACCTACAGCCAATATCACACTCGATGAGTAAAAACTGAAGTTTTCCTTTTAAGATCGGGAACACGAGAAGGATGTCTGCTTTCACCACTTGTTTTCAACATCGTATTGGCAGTCCTAGCCACAGCGGTCAGACAAGAGAAAGAGATAAAAGGCATCCGAATAGGAAAGGAGGAAATCAAGCTATCATTGTTTGCAGATAACATGATAGTGTACATAGAAAACCCTGTAGACTCTACCAAAAAACAACTCAACCTAATAAGTGAATTTGGCAAAATAGTAGGATACAAAGTCAACATTCAGAAATCAAAGACATTTTTGTACACCAGCAATGAAGTAGAAAAAGAAGAAATCAGAAAAAAAAATACAATTCGATATAGCAAAAGAAAACTAAAGTACCTAGGAATAAATTTATCCAAAGAGGTATAAGGCCTGTACACAGAAAACTATACAACATTGAGGAAAGAAATTAAGACACAAATAAATGAAAGCATATACCGTACTCATGGATTGGAAGAGTTAATATCATCCAAATGTCCATACTACCCAAAGCAATACTTAGATTTAACACAATCCCTATTAAGATACCAATGATGTATTTCACAGAAATAGAACAGATATTTCAAAAATTTATATGGAACCATAAACGACCCAGAATAGCCTCAGCAATTTTGAGAAAGAAACACAAAGTAGGAGGGATCACAATACCGGACATCAAACTCTACTTCAAAGCCACTATACTCAAAACAATCTGGAACTGGCACAAGAACAGACCCATAGACCAGTGGAACAGAATAGAAAGCCCAGAAATAAGCCCAGGTCTCTATGGGCATCTTATATTTGGCAAAGGGGGCAGAAGCATAAAATGGAGTAATAACAGCTTCTTCAACAAATGATGTTGGGAGAGCTGGACGGCTATGTGCAAAAAAATTGAAACTGGATCATCAGCTGATACTATACACAAAAATAAACTCGAGATGGATAAAATACTTAAATATAAGTCGCAACACCTTAAAAGTCCTACAGGAGAACATTGGCAGCAAACTCTCAGATATCCCACGCAACAATTGTTTCATTGATGTCTCCTTAAGCAAGGGACATAAATGAAAAAATAAACAGGTGGGACCTCATCAAAATAAGAAGCTTCTGCACGGCAAAAGAAAACATCAGCAAAATGAAAAGGGAGCCAACCGTATGGGACAATATATTCGTTAATGATAGATCAGATAGAGGTTTGATTTCCAAGATATATAAAGAACTCACTCGACTCCACTCCACGAAGACAAACAATCCAATCAAAAAATGGGCATAGGACCTGGGCAGACACTTTTCCAAGGAGGAGATACAGAGGTCCCAGAGGCATTTGAAAGGATGCTCAGCATCCCTAGGCATCAGAGAAATGCAGATCAAAACCACCATGAGGTACCATCTCACACCGGTCAGAATGGCCATCATAAACAGATCCACAAACAACAGGTGCTGGCGACGCTGTGGAGAAAAGGGAATCCTAGTCCACTGTTGGTGGGAATGCAGACTGGTGCAGCCACTGTGGAAAGCAGTGTGGAATTTCCTCAAAAAGGTGAAAATGGAACTGCCTTTTGATCCAGCGATTCCCCTGCTGGGACTATACCCTAAGAAATCCAAAATGCCATTTCAAAAGAACATATGAACCCTGATGTTCATAGCAGCACAATTTATAATAGCCAAGTGTTGGAAGCAACCTAAGTGCTCATCAGTAGATGATTGGATCAAAAAATATGGTACATCTACACAACAGAATACTACACAGCAGAGAGAAAAAAAGAACTACTAAACTTCTCGACAGCATGGGTGGAACTGGAGAGCATTATGCTAAGTGAAATAAGCCAGGGAGCAAAAGACAAATGCTATATGATCTCACCTATAAGTGGAACCTAACCAACAATACAAAGATGCAAGGAAAATAAGACCAGCAACACTGAAAGGAAAAGAAACCAACAGAAACAAGTGGGAATGTGGAGGGAGGTGGAAAAGGAAGGGAAGGGGAAAGTCAAGGAACATATAGCAAGGACTCATGGACAAAACCAAAGGGGAAGTTCTGAGGGAGGGAGGGGGCAAGGGAAAGTGGTAAGGGGTAGGCAGAAACAAATGTATTTGAAATAATAAATAAGTTAAAAAAAAACTTATTTCTCTTAGAGACCAGAAAATTACATATGCTAATTAATTTAAAAAAATTATTCTTGTTGTGAGATTCCCTCCCAAAAATATTGTATATTACATTGTTATACAGATATATAGGTTTGTTTCTAGAATGCTCATTTTATTTCATTGATCTACTTGATTATTTCTCTGCTGGTATCATGTTGTTTTAATTAGTGAGAGTTTATAATGGATTTAAATTTTTTAATATTTTATACTGGATTTTGACATTTAAAAAATAAATAAATAAATAAATAAAATCTGCTTTAAAAAAAAGGAACTCCTACCTTTTGCGACAATATGAATGGAACTTGAGAATATTATGCTAAGTTAAATAAGCCAGTCAGTGAAAGACAAATACAATATGATCTCACTTATAAGTTGACTCTATTCAACAAAAGAAACTAATGAACAAAATAAACCATAGGCAGGGAAACATGGAGCAGACTGAAAGTGACCAGAGGGGAGGGGGAAAGAGGACGTGGTGGGAAGAAGGGGATGGGACTAGACAAAGAACAAGTATGAATGACCCATGGGTATGGACAACAGAGTGAGAATTGACTGTGGGAGCAGGGAATGGGGTGGGTTGGGTGGAGGGGGGCAAAAATTTAGATAACTGTAATAGAATAAACATGATTTTTAAAAAATGTAGCAGGAATAATATATTAAAATAAAATTTTGTTCCCTGAAAGTTTGGACCCAAATCATGGGTGTGCAGTATACATGGCAAATTATAATAAATCTAGACTAGTTACAGAAAATCTCAGAGCCACGGAAGGAGAGAAAAAAACATCAAGAAATCAACCTTAACCTGGCTACACCCCTGCCTAAAAATAAGGCTCAGTCTGGGGTCCAGGAGTGTGGCTGGTACAGCCCCACCCCCGCATTCACATCCTTCCTATCAGCATAAGGGCAGGATGCAGCTGGACATGCAGGAGCAGAGAGATGCTCTACATGGATGTCAGAGGGTTCCAATCTCACACACAAAAAAATAAACACAATCAAGGGGTCACTGAAAGAATTTAATTCTCTAGAGTCAATGGGAGAAGCAAACGTTCACAATGGTCTCCATGACACCAAACTTCAGAGGCAGCCCTGACTGATTTGGAAAGACATCAACAGTGAAGGTCTAGCAGGAGGAGGAGGGAGCTCTTATTCCAGCTTAGTTACTTAATTATGAGCATGATGTAATGACACACAACAAGACATCTATAGCTACTATGCATCCTTACAAGTTTCGGTGAGCCAGAATCTATGGAAATACCAAAGAGCCAGAAAAGAATCAAAATCGATATATGTCAAAATGGCATTCCTGTGGGCCACAGGTATTGGGATTGTCAAGCAGTGAATTTAAAACAACTCTGATTACTTGTTAGAAGCTATTAGGAAAACATAGGCAGATTTTGGGATTATAAAGGTAACTGCAGGTGAGGTATATAAACTAAGAAAGGGAATCAAATAGAGAAATTGACAATGGCACAGACCCAGAAATGAATGAATCTTTTAACCCACTAACCAGCAGACCCCTAGTCATGAGGAACTCCAAGTCAAAGTCCTAGTCGGAAATCACCTCAGTCCTGGCCGGATGGCCATTGTAAAAGGACAGAAACTGAAAGTGAAACAGGTCAAGTGTTGGTGAGTGTGTGGGGAAAGGGGGCCCTTGCACACTCTGGAGGGAGACGGAAAATTGTGCTGCCACATGGGAAACAGGATGATGTTTCACCTCCTCTCTCAAAATTTGAAACCCTGCATGATTGGAGCCATGAAGCTTCGGGATATATATTCAATAATAAAAGCCAGTACATGTAAGACCTTTTCAATTGCCCTCTTCATTGCAGCGTTATTCACTGCAGTAAAAATGTGAAATTCACCTTGGTGTCCATTAACTGGTGAATGGATTAATAAGTGCCATAGAGCCATTGACCGAGTATTACACAGCCTTAGAAAAGAGAAAAACCTGTCATTAACCACAACATTGCCAAAACTAGGTGACATGATGCTCTGTGAAATAAAGATATCATTAAAGGCAAATATTGCATGATTCCACTTATACTACAAATTTAAATTAAATGTCATTTCCAGCAGTGTATGAAGGTGCTTGAGGCTTGGGTATGGGGGAAAGGTGATTTCTGGATATCAGAGATCGGTGCAGAATCGACTGCCTTGGATTGTTGCACCATGAAGAGAACCAAAGACAGAAGCTCCTGGAGGAGACAGCTGGTGTCCGAACAATATCAGACCTGGTGGTGTATTCTGTGCTTCACAGGAGCCTGTGGGTGTTTGTTCTTGTGTGTGGAGCTATCCATCCTTCAGGGCCATGTTGAGTTTCAGGGCACTGTCAGTCATCCTGGAGTGCATCTTCCCATCTGGGAATGGGAGAAAAGAACAGAAAGCCCAGCCACTGTTATGGTTCATGGCTGTGTGAACACCAGGGCATTCCCATTTGTTGTCCTGAGACAGCCTCCTTCTAGGTTGAGTGATCACTGAGACCCACCTGCTAATTTTCTTTGCTGAGTAAAAGTCCATTCATGGCTATTTCCCTGTTCCCTTATTTTCAAACTAAAATGGCATTTGGCTGGTTTGCTTCTTCTAACACAAAAAGACTGTAATTATTTGTATACACTTTTATGTGAATGTAAAATTTATTCTTCTAAAGTGAACACTTCCAGCCAACTGCTTAGATACCTGTTATGTATATATTAATTCCATAAGAAATGGTGATGCACTTAGGTAAGGAGGAGAGGACCCCAGTCATTGCTGATATGTCCTCTACAAATGGACAGCATCGCCACCAATGTGACTAATGTGTTGTGCTGACACTAACCTTAGGTATGAACGCCTACCTTGCACCAACATCACATGCCTGCCTGAGGTGAAAGATCCAGTTGCTTTTCATGCTCCAGGGAAGCTTACCTATAATATGCATATTTACATTTACATTTATAAAGAATTGGGACTCACATTATGACCAGGAGATGTCCCAAATTCCCATGAGCTGAGGTTTCAGGCAACAGACACAGGAAAGCTTCTTTCATACCTAAGCCTGATTAGTTTGCTTAGGACAAAGGTGGCCAGGATAAAAGACCTCTGCCCCAGCTCCAGAAGACAGTAGACAGGTGGGAATGGCTTAATTTTCTCTCCTTCGCTCTTTGTTCCAGTCAATCCCTCAGTGGAATAGATGGTGCCCACTCACATTTTTGAAATGGGCCCTTCTGAAACACCAGTTCATAGGCTATGCTCACCTGTAAGCAAGCTATGTTCAAACCCATAAAGAAATTTTCAGCCAGAACTTTGGGCACCTTATGACCCAGTCAAATTGAAATAAAAACCAACTGTTGACAACAGATTTATTTAGGGGAAATGTTTCCAATCAGAGCTAATATGTGTGTCAGATAGAAGAGACTCTTTTGCTTTCAATTCACCATGGTGATTGCTTTCTTAGGTGTCTACATGTGCAATATCACATGGAGAGGAATCTCCTGGGCCAGAGATGGAACCAAGCCTTAACCAACATGTGCCCTGTTCCTGTACACCCCGTGGACCCTGGGCACCCCTATTGGTTGCATCCCCTCCTGCAAAGAATATTGTGTATGGGTTTTCCCTAACTTCTCCTCTCCCTCTCTCAAGGAACAATACAAATCTGGGTCTTTGGCTCTCATTTGAAGATGAGCAATGCTTTTGGAATCATCCCTTGAGGACAATGAAGGATGTCCTTCATTGAGGCAGCACATTCTTTTGTGTGACTGTTTATTTTGTTTCTTATAGCACCTATCCACTCTGGCCTCTTTCCTAGAGGCTGATGGATCAAGGTTATATAATAGTCACTGAATGTGGATCCAGAGCCTTTGCAGGAGAGTCTCAGAGACACCCAGACTCTCTCAGGTGACCCTTAGACTCCACTGTTGCATCTTACATTACACATTTACAGACAAGATATTCTCATTAAGAGAGATACACAGACAAAATCAATTCCTAGGATTCTTTTTAATGTTACCATTTACAAGCATCAGATCAAGTGCCCATCTCAGCTTAAAATTTATGTTGCTTCCTCTTCATGTGTTAACTGCATCAGGGAATGTCACTGCCAAGTGGGAGTTCCAGGACCCCTCTCCCAGAGGTGCATGGACAGTGGCAGGGCTTGGTGTATCAGCATTGGGGAATGACCCATTGCCATGTATTATTCCTCATATGGACAGAGACATGAAGAATCCACCGATGAACGCCCCTACTCAACTCAGAGGGACAAGTAACCTTGTAGTGATAGTGGAGATTTTTAAAATATGCTGGTTACTCTGTGTGCTGTACAGTTAATGCTGTTGTTCATTTATACCATTGATCAGTTTAACACAATTACATTTATAGTGATATTACACACACACACACTATTCAGACTATTCAGCTCACAATAAATTCCCTGTGTGACTCTGTTCTTGTGTTAACACACAGGGAGAAGTTCATCCCCAATGCCAACCTCCCAAAGGCTGAGGGCTGTGGATACTTCAAGGGCTGCTGCTTGTGCTTTCATCTGCACACTGAGGATCCATCAGCCTCAAAAGAAAGAAAGAAAGAAAGAAAGAAAGAAAGAAAGAAAGAAAGAAAGAAAGAAAGAAAGAAAGAAAGAAAGAAAGAAAAATAAAATAAATCTGGGAAGTAGGAACGAACACATGTAGAGTTTTTCAACTGTCCTGAACATCATCTGTTCTTAGCCTCTTCCTCCACTTCCTCAATGGCATAAAGACAACAAGTGACTAAGATGCATACAGCACAATAATAGTTATTCAGTAAGGTGTTATTATGATCTAAATGCCACACTGCCATTATTATATACAATCTCTGGGAAGTTTGAAAAATTAACATTTTTAGTTAAAATGATAAAACCTAAGTAAGCCTTCATAACACTTGGCCAATGCCTCTCCTAAGTGGTGGTAATGGCCATGCTTATAAGAGCACACAAGCCATGCCCCTGTTATGCGGTGACTAGGAGGACTATGCATTTATGGATCTTATATCCAGTGAAACATGGAACCGGCTTCATGATGATGTTGTAAAAAACAAAAAGGTTTATGGATTAATACCACATCTAATGCTGCTTCCCTTATAAATTTCCTAAGGAGAATCCTGTGACATTCAAACAGGAAAATTCATCTTTGGAAGAAAAGATGAGAGAAAAACTGCCCTTGGACATCACTGGAAATAAAATCATGCTGTACAATTCAAAATAACTATTTAAGCATATGGCCAGGGTGTCAATACTTGTGGTCATGTTACACTAAAATGTTACTCAGTCCTAGAAGCTGTAATAAACTACTGTGCACTGGGTCATTGGCCAACAACAAAGATTTATTTCTCACAGATCTGAAGGTGAGGAATCCAAGATAATGTGCTGGCACATTTGATGTCTGGTAAGAACGTGTTTACTATTTGGTTGTTGGTTCGCTGTAATCTCAAAAGGTGGATGGAACAAGGGAACATCCTCAGTCCTCAGTTATAAACACCCTGATCCTGTTCATGGCAGCTCCATCCTAGGACTGAAGCTATTCCCAAGGCCCCACATTCAAACACCACCACATGGGCCTCGGTTTTAATATGTGAGGTTTTGAGTGACAAAAACACCATCTCATAGTAACAACAAACAAATCAAATCATGGCTCTGCCCAGTGGAATGAGACTCCAGTGGAGCTCTCCAAGCTGTGGATTCCTGTAATCTACTGGAAGTGTCTCACTTGTGGGAGCAGAATGGGAACTCAAGTCCTATAGAACTAGCTGATGATGTTGTAGAATGGAAAGCTTCTTAGACTTTGAACTAAGAGGTACTTATAATTTATCATTATTTCCCCCTTATTGCATACATGTAACCATTATTCTTATTTTCTAGGGACTAAAAGTTTTTGCCCATCATATCTGATAGCTCCATGTTCTCACTCATGTCTCCTAGTCATTTGATGAAATAAGGAGCCAGACTATAGTTTTTATGTTCTCATAATGTTAAGATTCACCTTTATCTATCATGCTGCACACTCATGGGGCAACTGAAGTGAAAAAGAAGATTTTCCTTAGTTTCAAGTGGTTGGGTGATTGAAATCACACACACCCCTCCTCTGAGTAGGACCCTCCCCATCCTTGACACAGATGAAAAATAAAAACCTAACTAGACTGCTTTCCTGTCATGATCCAATCATTCCTGACTTGCAGAAAAGTATTTTCTGTTCTTGAGAGGCTCCTCAATGAATCGACAAGTTGTTCATGGTCCCTCTGTGTAGGACATCCTCACCCTAGCCATCTATACCTAGAAATGGTGAGGAGTCTCTCTATCTCCACATGATATCAACTGTTATTGGTGTCCTGGACATGGAATCAAATCAATGACCATCACCACCATGACCTTTGTTGTTCGGCGTTGGATATATGTGCTTCTGGTGTCTGCTGTCCAGCATGCGTGTGCCCTTCTGCTGGCTGGCTTGGACTCTGAGCTAGGTGCGGCTGCAACACTGTTGGTGCCCTTGGAACCTCTGTTTGGATTCAGCTGATGTAAGTCAGAAGGTGTGATAATTCATTAGGATAGAAGTGAGCAAATGCATGTGACACTCTGATTTGGAACATGACAGAATATTTTCCTCCTGTGACAACAACCCTCTGTAGTTCAGAACTTAAGAGGTCGGCACAAAATTGTCAAGAGTGGGGGCTCCCAGAGGGAAACTGCTGTGGGAAGAATTAACTCCACACTCGTCAGGAAACCAGCCTTAACCTGCACCTGCAGCTTCTCTCAAGCTGATGTCTGTGTTCAGTGTGACTTGAGTTTCCCCTGGTGTCCTGAGAATCCCCTGCAGCCCAGCTCTCCTTTCTCCTTCAGGGAGATTTTTGCTTGGGCTTACACTGACTTCCCCTCACTGTGTCTGTGGTACAGTAATACACAGCCATGTCTTCAGATCTCAGGCTGTTCATTTGCAGGCAGAGCATGTTCTTGCCATTGTCTCTGGAGATGGTGAATCTGCCCTTCACAGAGCTGGCTTAGTATGTGCTACCACCACTATATATTGCTGAGACCCACTCCAGTCCTTTTCCTGGAGCCTGGCAAACCCAGCTCATAGCATAGCTACTGAAGATGAATCCAGAGGCTGCACAGGAGAATCTCAGAGATCCCCTAGGCTTTGCCAAGCCCCCCTCCAGACTCCACCAGCTGCACTTCACATTGGACACCTGCAAACGCAAAGATGTACTGGTCAGTAAATTGTCACTTGTACATTGTTTTTGTCAAGAATATCCGTTCACACACTCATTGTCTCTTGTTCTCCAAGAATTTCCTTTTAAAATTGCAACAAGGAAAACCCAGTTGAACCCAAACTTCATGGTGAGTGGGCTGCGTTTTGATCTGATGAGATACTGGGAACACCTGGGAACCACAGGCTGCGTTCCTGTCCCACAGCTGCATGGTTGGAGCTGGGCTGCTTTTCATGAGGTGAGGATCCCTATTTGCATAGCTTCCTGCTATATATGGCCTCTGTGGTTGGATATTGATGTGAATAACATAGTCCCAGAGTGTTACAAGTCTAAGCTTCATGTCTTTCGAGAATTACTCCCCACAGTTAAGCCTATAATTACTCAAATACCTCAACCACTCCAGGAGATGGGTACGTGGCCTAGGAAAGCAAATTGTCATAAACTAAAGGGATTTAAAATGAGAGATACTTTTGAAAGTCAACAGTAAGGAACTCACAAAAAAGAAAAAAATTCAACACTCATGACCAGAAGGGGAAATTATAGTGGTGGAGGTTCAAGATCTGGTGATAAGAAGTTATATCTGAACCTATTCCTTCTACAAAGTAATAAGAATATGAAGAAAGAAGAGAATATGACCCTAGTTATATAAACCCACAGTTGCAGGAGGTGGTGAGTCTGTATTGGGACTCACCACCCTTCAGGGAGATTTTTGCCTCGGCTTACATTGGGAGACAGAAGCATAAACTCTACAGAGAAATGGACAGTGCTTCCAAGTCACATTCCTTCAGTGGAGTTTGGGCTGAATGTACAGCAGCCTCACTGCCTCATTATTGTTTATTTGTTTGTTTCCCCCTAGGCTCTGTGGTTAAACTAGATTCAAACACTCCAGATACAGAAAAATACTCAGTTAGATTTGGTCTGTTTTGTTGAAGGTTTAGGTAGAAATTGGGGAGTAAATGTGTTGAAATATTAAAAAGTTGATTACAGAAAATGCTAATCCAAACCACTAATAGAAAATACCAATTATAAATAAAATCACAATTGATATGAAGAACATTATTTATCTTTATTCATTGATTACAGAATGAATAAGTCATTCAAATGGCCTCTCATTACTGAGGCTAGTGGATAAAACAGTATATTGAACTACAGTCTTCAACTTGGCACTGCAGCCGGACCTCACCATCAGGATCTGTGTCTACATGAATGTGTGACATAGCTTTAATCAAGGAGCAAGAGAGACAGTGTGTCATGGTCCCTGGTTCTTTGAGGGTTACCTTCAGAAGAAGCACCACCACTTCCTTACAGTCCCTATTCATGTCTGAATGTGACTCATGGGAACCTGTCACCATGACCACACACGCGGGGCATTCAATGAATTGAACCTGATATGATGAAAATATAAACTTACAACATGGGAAAAATTAAATAGTGAATAGGGATGAATTACTGTGGATGGTGAATTACCCTAATTTTCGCAGACACATTTGCTCTGACTCCAGTATCTATAAGGATAAATATGTGCAGACAGCAGAGCCAAATTTGTGAATGGTTCATTTGTCATTGGAATATAGTACTGGCCGATTATGGGTCTTCCATTGCCAAAAGTGTCTCTGTGATTTTTCCTGCTGTGTGATGGCATCCAAACTGGCACAGGGAGAGGGACACTCACAGAGCTGTTATCTCAGATGTGTAGACTTATTAAGATACCACCCTGAGTGAGCACAGAAAGAATGCTTTGATTTCATCGATGGTTCTGGCACCAGGAACAACAGTCAACCCTCGACTCCTTTGCCAGAATATCATATCTGTGATGATTGGCATGACACAAGGTCGTAGAAGTTCATCCTTAGCTTCTATGTATGTATATTTCCCCAATAACTGTTCCATTGTTCAGAAATAAAGGAACTGAGAACTTGGAACTGGCTGGGAGACACTGTGGTCCAAATCCTCAAAGGTGACACCCCCATAAACTGCCTCATTCAGAGGACAAGGAAGCTCCCAATTTGTCCAAAGCACATTCACGACAAATAGCAGGGGTACTTTTAGAAACATCTTCTCTGCCTCTTCCTTGCAGTGCATCTGGTCTCGAGAAACATTTCCCTGAATTCGTTCTGTGTACATAACAGCCTCAGTCCTGGGGCACATTCTGATTGTTTGTGAGGAAGTCAGAAGGCCCATAATCCTGTCATCTCCTCAGACCAGTCCAGCAACTCAATTCCTCAGAGTTTGTGAAAAAAGAAATAAAAGGCAAGTGAGTTATCATGCTATGCCTTCTGTACAGTAATATTCCAGCCTGTCTTTGTCTGTCAGACTGCTCAGCTCTATGTAGGTTGTGGTTTTGGATGTCTCTGAGGTAATGACAACTCTGCCCTAGAACTTATGTTTGTTCTTTGTTTTACTATCATCAGTGTTAGTTTGTCTCATTCACTCAATCTCTTTTCCTGGGGCCATTTACACCCAGTGTATCCAGTAGCTCTTGAAAGTGTATCCAGAGAACTTGCAGGGAAATGTCACTGAGGCCCCAGGTTGCCTCATGACAGCTCCAGACTGCACCAGCTGTACCTCAGGGTGAACACCTGTTGAAAGGAGGCAGAGGGGGTGGAAATCCCCTTTGACTGCCCTTGGAACCCTCCTCAACCTAAGAATAAAGAAACCACTTACCTGGACCCATGCCACCAAGTAGAGGGCTCTCTAGTTCTATCACATAGTGAAGGGCTTTGCCAATAGGACTTCTGTAGGGCAGAGTGTGGATGAGGGTGATGCTCTGGGGACACAGGCAGATTCTCATGTACCCCACTCTACCTCTTCTCATTTGCATATTCATGAGGTAGATTATTTCATACCTGAAATCATGACCCCACTTGAGAGAAGCTAGAGGACACAGGACAATGTTCAGAGGGAGATTCAGAGTCCACATCTTCATTATTAGTGTTGTAGGATATCTGGCTCTTTCCAAGTCCCTTAATGCTGTGTAGACATAGATTCTCCCACCATGAACAAACCGCCTGAGCACACTCTCCTCATTCAGATCTCACCTTTGTGCACCATGGAGGCTATGTAGATCAGCTCTGGACTTTAATGATAAATGTCTTATTGCTAGATCAGTGGGTCTCCAAAGTGCAGCATTTAATGAGTTAATAAACCTGCCCCATCCCCAGTATCTTACAATTCAGATATAAATGAGCCACAGAAATAGCACTATTGACTGTGGTTCTCATGCCTTATCAAGTGGTAAATGCTGTGATTCCACAGAATGTTTACAGTCTCCTCATGCCCAACTCACATAGATGTTTTGAGGGAAATAAGAAGACCCATGCCTAACTGGAAACCGCTTTCCATCTCCGTCTGCAACAACAGCTTTTATCTGGGATAGCAGCCCTGAGCTCATGTGTTCTGTGTCCCTGGCAGCTCAGCCTGTGCATTATAGGGGAGGGTCCTGTCTGGGCTCACAGGGTATGGACCGCTCACCATATCTAGTCTATAATGAAATGCTGAGACCTGACTTGAGAGTGCTCCCATAGAGACATCCTGTGATTTGACATCTCTGTGAAGGCACAAATGCCCTTTCTAAACCCCAGTGACTTTATAAAGAACCTAATAGTCACAGTTCTTTGAAGCCACCAGGGATCTCCTTCCTTGGACCTTCCTGAGATGCTGCCTCAGCCAACACCACTAAATCTGATGCTCTCCAATGCTTTGGGCACCTCTGGTTTCCACAGGTTGCTACACTGCGGTGTCTAGATTGACAATGTTCTGAATCATCCCCTTAGATGGGACATCTGCCTTTCACAGATGCAGCATAATGTGTCATTGACCATAGCTTCTTTCTAATATATACTCACTCCCATCTTATTTTGTTGAGCCTGTAGCATAGATTATAAAGTCAGTTCACATAAATCTATCACATTTCAAAGAATCACAGACCCACCGAAAGACAGGAAAAGCTGCAAGGACATAACTTAGATGTGGACACATTCCTACTTCAAAATAGGTCTCAGTCCATGTTCTGAGAATTATGATGGCCCAGCCACTCCACCACAACCATGACCACCCTGTAAGAACAAGGTGTGAGATGCAGCTGAATAAGCAGGAGCAGAGAGATGTTCTGTGTGGGACCCAGAAGGTGCCAACTCCACACCGAGGACAGAACACAAGAAAGGATTAACTGCAAGAATTGAATTCTCTGGAGCCAATGTTAGAAACAAACTGTCACAATAGTTTACATGGTAACCAAACCTCCAGAAATGGCCCTGACTGATTCACAGAGATGTCCACAGTGAAGGTCCAGATGGAGGAAGAGGGAGTTCCTGTTCATGTTGAGTTAATTGATTACAATACCATGACACAGGGCACCAGTCCTTAATAGCATGCCTACATAATTGGTTATTCTTCAGATCATACTAATCTCTTCACCTTTTACTTTCTAGAAGATCTGGATGCACCACAAAATATGGTAATAACAATAAGAAAGACTGAACTCTTCACTGACACATGTCCAAATGACCTTCCCATGGGACTCAAGTATGGGGATTGTCACACCTGATTTAAAAGAACTTTGATTCATTGTTACAAGCTAAAAGGGAAAGGTAGACAGAATTCAGGGTTGTATAGGTAACTGAGGATGAGTGATGGAAACTAAGGGAAAGAATCAAATAAGAAAATACATTGATGCAGACATAGAAAAGAATCTATCAACAAGCCCCAAAGGAGGCCTATAGTCATCAGAAACTCCAGATCTGTGCTCCAGTAGTAAATCACCTCATCCTCTGCAGGACAGCTACTTTAAAAGGACATAAAACTAAAGTGGAAAAGGTCTAGAGTTGTTCAGCTTGTGAGGAAAGGGAGCCCTTGCACATTCTGGATGGTAAAATAAAATTATGCTACCACTTGGAATACAAGATGTTGGCTCAAATGCACAAAAATTTGAAATTCTGAATGATTGAATCATGAAGCTTCAAGGTGTCCATTTAAATGTTAAAAAATCAGGACTTGGAAGAGGTATTTTTACTGCTGCATGATTGACTCCATCACTATGTAAAAATAACAAACAAACAAACAAACAAACAACTGAATAAGTAAACCTCAGTGTCCATTAGTGGGTGAAATGATAAAAACATGCTATGCACTAACAATAGAGTACTCCTCCATCTCAGAGGGAATCCTGCCAGTAACCACAATGTGGTTGAATCTCGATGGCATTGGGCTCTAAGAAATGATGCTGTAATGGAAAATCAAATATTGTACGATTCCACAAGTACTAGGGGTGAAATTGGATTTCACTTTCAGCAACTTTATACTGACTTAATTTACACTCTTTGTCTTCTGTGCAACCTCTTAGGCAGGACACTTAGGTCATTACACTTGTTCCTTCTGAATTTTCTCCTAATCATCTTTTTAAAAAACATTTTGTTTATTTATAGAAAAGGGGAAGGAATGGAGAAAGAGAGAGAGAAAAACGTCAATATGTGTTTGGTTCTCACACAATCCCTACTGGGAACCTGGCCTGCAACACAGGCATGTGCCCTGACTGGGAATCAAACCAGCAACTTGTATTTCACAGGTTGGAACTCAAATCACTAAGCCACACAAGTCAGGGCCCCAAGTTGGCTTTTAAGTTATGGATTCCTCTCTTATTTCTCCTTCAAGCCTTTTCTTGCAATTTTAGAATTAACACCTGTCTCTCTATATATCTGGGCTCTGGCCTCCAGAGACATTGGTACCATTACCAGTGACCGGGCCACCCAGCCCTTTTCTGACCATTGTCTGACTTCATCTTGCCACGGGTTTGTCCATCATGATGCTCTTCAGATCATGGGCCACCTGAAGGTACTCTCAGCACATGTGTGAGTGGATAAAGGTGCTCTGAAGTAACTCATCAGTTTTGTCTCCACCTGGCACAGCCCTGCCATGGAAGATATTCTATATGACCTAAAATCACATGTGTGCACTACATATCAGCTCAGAGGATGGCTGAGGCCAGCTTCAAGTCACCTGAGTGTAACTTGCCTTGGGTTCTCATGAAGGGACAGACACAGAAGCTGAACATGAGGGGATGTGGGAGGTGCATTTAAAGCAAAATGTAGCAGGGATAGAAAGGAGAGAGCAGAGCCCGATCCACATGGAGTTTCATGCCTGGGACAGACTTGGTGGGAGTTTGGAGAATAGAAGACAGAGAGTGATGTTGGGGTGGGTTCTGGGGATTGGAGTTGAACAGCACAAGGTAGGCAGGGATTAGCTTCACACCCAGGTGGTCTCATGATCCTCATGGGTGTTGCACGTTAGGCTGAGACATATCATAGAACTCTCCCGCAGATCTGAGTTGAGACCCACTCACAATGCTGCTCAGAAGCCCTGTCACAGGGCTCCATCTCTGTGCTGGCTTCCTGCTTCCATCTTGGGGACACACTGAGAGCTGCTTTGTCCCCAGACTCAGTGCTTCTCCATCTAGGACACTGATGGGAGTAACAGAAAGGGTTGATACCTGTACCTCAGTATCCAGCCATTGGAGGTGAGGCAAGTGGCTCACTGCCACCATAGAGGACAGCGATCATCATGGGACAGGAGCATGGGGTGATCATTCTCATGTGGGATGGCCTGTGCTGTGTGAAGAAGAGGGTGTGACTAAGCACATGGAATCAGATCAGCTGGCTCAACCTTGCACTGGTGTGTGGGGGGATCACCCTCAGACAGGGGCAGTGAGAATCCCCCACATGTATTGTCTGTCAGCCAGGAAAAGCAGGCCCTCTAGAGACAGGGTGACAATGATGACCCAGATGAGCAAGAAAAAGCACTGAAAACACAGTTCTTTGTTACTTTATTGAAGCAGAGAATGTAAGAAATTATAGGACACATAAAAAGAATTGGGAATTGACTGAGGGGACAATAAAAGGAGAGAGATCATTGACCTCAAACGGAAGTGTATCTGCAATCCCTAGGAACCAGCTTCTAAGCTGGACTCCTCCACATAGTAGCAATGATGCCCCCTTGTGTCTTGGGAAAAAATTCTGGTGTCCTGAGTTCCACCTTGGTTTCTCAGAGGTTTCTGGAGTCCTGAGCACCCTCTGTCACCCTGCTCTCCATCTTTCCTCAGGCAGGTCACTGTCTGGGCTCACTCTGACTTTCCAGATGGATTCATGTACAGCCTCACCCTCTGCCACACACCTGTGTCTGTTACCTAGTCCCCTCAGCTGCCCCATCCAGGGTACATATTCTGCAATAATCTCCTGTGTAGCCAGTAGCCGATGCAGATGGTTTGGACCAGGCTCCACTGAGGATCCTTCCTTTCTCCATTCCCACTGACAGTTGTCCATGAATAGGGATGTGAGGCTGGCAGAGGGCCCAGTCATTCTGAGGACACTGCTCTTCATCCTTGGGCTCTGGGCACAACATTCTAACACTCATCCTTCATGTTGCTACATGCCCAGTAACATGGTGATTCCATGAAGAATCTCCACCACCGTAAGGCTGCTGTCCTAGAGACTGAGTTTTTGGGTCCAGAGAAACTTCATCCGCATGTGGCACAGAAAAGGTTCTGGCGCCAAAAATTGGTGATGATGCCTCAGGTTGATCAAAGGGCCTTGCACATGGACTAACCCTTGGTTCTCCTAGACTGTTACTACCTCAGCTCTCTGGATGAGCTCCTCTCTCTACGGTCACTGTGGATATATGCTATGGGGGTATGAAAGGTGTGAAGAATTTGGATGACCTGGCCTATGAAATTTAACCCGTAAAGAGTTTTTGAAGGCTTGAACATGTAGCTCCTCAGGCAGTGGCAGACTCCAATGCAATGGGACTGATGTATATGCTGGGGTAAAAAGAAGAGAACCCCCCTCACCTCCCAGTCTCTCAAGCAAATGCCAGTTCAGCCTCCACGATCAGCAGTGAGTTCTATGAAGACCACCTAAGAAATGTAAAAGGCTATCTTATGAGTTCCCACTTGGTATGTCAATGTGTTAAAAAGAGCCCAAGTTGTGGTAAGTCTGGGTATTTTACTTGATGCTATGATACAAAGTATTCATGTAAGATACTACAACAGCATCATAATGATTTATAATGTTAGACAGCCAACGGCCATGAGCAACTAGGTGGTGCCAGGGACTCTGTTTTATGAAAATTTTGCAGCCAACATTTATAATCCTCTTCAGCCACATTAACCCTTAACTGTGATTAGAAATGGGTCCTATGAACTTGGATTAACTCCATTTATATATGATTTATGCAAAAATACTAGCCTCCTCTTGCTGGGTGTTCTATCAAAACATCATTTATTGTTATCAGTTATAGACAGTCAGTTAATCTTGAGAAGTGTTGTTCTGTTTTGTCATGAGGAAACGTGTTTGCCAGGGGAGGGCCACCCATGTCAGGTACAGGTACCCAGTGTTGGTAGATACCTTCTGTAACTGTTCCAAGGTGCATACTGAAAATATAGTTAATTAAGTAGAAAACACTGAAGCTCTCAGAGTCAATCCAATTATTCAAATGAAAGGATATCATTTGCTGATGTGGAAACTCTGTGGTCAACGATGGAGATCATTGTGACTGTGGATCTTTCAAGCCTTGTGACAGCAACCAGTGCTGCAAAAGTGACTGCAGCTTTACATCTGGAAATGTTTTTGTAACACAGGCAGGAATTGCAGGAATTGAACCTACTCACCCCCGTGGATGCTCTGCAAACCAATCAAAATCTCATGTAACCTTCCAGAGCACAACTGTGGGCCAAGCTCCATGTGCCCTGATAATGTGTATCTGCAACATGGAGCCTAGTGCACCAAATAACTACTGCTGTCATTGGAAATGGTACTGACCACTCTACGCCCAGCATGGAGTTTTTTGGGGAAGGTGCAATGAATGGTTGAGACACAAGGTGTAGCATAAATACAAAGCAACACTGATTGGACAGTGTAGAAGTAATCAGTCCTACAAACTATTGAGTGTGCTGACTCTGATGTTAGCTGTAATGCCTACAGCATGCCAACATCACACACCTGCCTCAGTAGCAGCAACATATTGGATTTCGTGTGTCTCTGATAGAGACGTCCTTGTATTTTGGTGGGGATTTACAGCTTGAGACAACGGCAACTGATGTTGGTCATGTGGGACCTGACACACCCAGTGGTGGTGGAGAAGTTCTGTGTCAACAACTCATGCAATGTTTCTGTGACTGCTGTAAACTATGAGTGTCTATTTTCAAAATACAACCTCAGTGGAATTTGCAGCAATTAAAAGAATTGCCATTTCCATATAGGCTGAGACCCTTCATGGTTCACCCAGAGAGATGCCAGAGTAAGGGTGGGCAGAGGACCACCTCCAAGAAGAATGTGAGCAGTGACATGAAGTGATACGTCAGTGGTATATTTGAGGGTGGTTTTGGGAACATGTATGCATTACTAGCTGCCAGCCTCTTATGGGTGGCCACCAAAATATAAACTGTCAGGACCACTAGAGTCAAGAAAGTGATAGCTGGTGAAAACTATGACGCTTTCTGACCCTTGTGCAACTACAGGTAACAAAGAAGAAATACCTGTGAAAATTCACCTCAACCAGCTGCAGATCCAAAGTCTACATTTCTCCATGTGTGATGGGCCTCTGCAGTGCATCACAGGGGAGTGAAAGAAATGGGCGTTTTCCCCGAGATCTCCAACATAAATCTTGAAAACTACATGATGGTGTTTCTACAGCATTACAGGTTTTCAAGAGGCCTCCCTGGGCCTGAGACTCTGGCCTGGAAAGGAGACCAGGTCAGTAGCTTGTCTGGACCTGTGACCTTCTGTTTCATTATTAGGGACTGTTGCCACATGTTCCTTTATGGCCACTCCCTGAAAGATCCCCATGATCAGGCTCCTAAAGTCTGAGGTCATCCTCAGTCTGTAGGAAGCCACTTCTTCTTTAACAAGTCAGGTTCAGGGAGATGGGGGTATCATTCCTACCTACAGAGTCTGCTCCCCAAATGTGTGGCTGTGTATGGCATGGTGAGTGTGTAGCCCACTGTCTCCTTAGTGACACCTGTTCTAAACTGGAGAGCACACTTCTCCGTGCCTGGGCTGCAGTCCATCAGTGACATTGTGCCCCAAAAGAGGGACTGTGACCGTCAGAGCCGCTGACCCTCTGAGGGAGCCCAGGCAAGGTCATTCCTATACCTTATCTGCACCTTTCAGAGAGGGGTACAAAGTGTACAGGCTTAGCTACGTTAATGCCAGGCACCATCCTCACAGCAGGCTTTTGGTGGTGGACAAACAGGCTTCTTCATTATCTAAAGTGTTTCCAATAAAGTAGTAACTTTCCATACAATATGAAATTAATAAAAATAAAAATTTGTATACACTAACAGTTTATTTTAATTTATAATTAGTGTATTCTATTATTATCATATTTCCCCATTACCATTAACGCACTTTATACCACCATCCTCCTGGCAATCACCTCTTAATTTCCATGTCCATGGGTCCTTTTTAAAATATTGTTTCCTCCATGCCACACAGGTATGGCCTATGCAATTTAAGAGTCAAAAACACCCACAAATGCAAAGACCAGGGGAGCTCTTGATGGGCAGACACATTCGAGGGTCTTTAGGAGATGATGTTGGGACATGTGACTGTGCACAATCTTTAAACTTCTTGCTGTGACAGGTCATGTGGTGGGAGCAGAAAAAAGAGATAGAAGGTAAAGATTAGACTTAGGGATAATTAGTTTGGTAGGTGACAGTGGGTTATGTTGGGGAGACTTTCCATGTCCACCCAGTAAATGAGGAAAAAGAGGGTGATGTGTGGCAGGGAGGACAGAGACCTGAGCAGTGGAGGACTTAGGGTACGATCACAATGACTGCAGTGCAAGGTGTGCCAGTCTGTAGGAGGGAGACCTGTGAGGACATTGTGTGCATGTCGGTGGACAGAGAGGCTGAGCTCAGCACACAGGAGCCTGAACAGAGCAGTACCCTTCTTTGTGGGAGATGTTTCCAAGAAGGGGGAAGGTGAGAGCACTCAGGGAGGTTCATTGCCAAGGAAGGAAAAGGGCACACAGCAGTGTGGTGAAGGAAATGTCCCCAGGGATGGGGTGGATTGTCACATGCAAACAGTATCACTTCTTCCATTGCTGTCTGTACTGAGAATGTGTGAAATCAGAGCTACAAAGATGGAAGAAGTGTCACTGGATGCAGCTGAGAGTTTTAAGAGGAAATCCCTGCTCCCAAGGGGAAGCCCCTTCCTTCCTCACCAGGCCCACACCTGTTCCTCTGTTTATTCTGTGGTAAGTGGGACTTCAGCGCCCCCTACAGCCCAAATATTTTGTGTCCCCCAGAGAGGTTTTTGTCTGAGTTCACACAAACTTACCTTTACTATGCCACTTGCACAGTAATACATGGCCATGTCTTCGGTTCTCAGGCTCTTCAGTTCCAAGTAGGCTGTGCTTGTGGACTTGTCTGTGGTAAAGGTGGCTCTGCCCTGGAACTTCTGTGCATAGTATGGAATATCAAAAGAGGTGTAAACCCACCCTATCCATTCAAGCCTTTGTCCTGGGGCCTGTCGGACCCAGTGGACACCGTTGCTGGTGAAGGTGTATCGAGAGGCCTTGCAGGAGACCTTTACTGTGGACCCAGGTCTCCTCACCTCAGACCCAGACTGCACCAGCTGCTCCTGGCAGTGGACACCTGTGGAGAAGAGAAAGAATGGCTTAAAATGACCCTTTACTGCCCCTGGTTCTCTCTCCAACTCTAGGACTGTGGATCCCTTGACCTGTAGCCACTGCCACCAGGAAGAGGGCTCTCCAGCCCCAGTCCATGTTGAGGGGATGAGTCTTCAGGACTTCTGTAGGTGAGTTTGTGACTGTGGGTGATGTCTCAATGTACAGGCTGGCCCATATTTAAGAGAGTCTACCACTGCTTATTTGCATAGCCATGAGCCAGAGCACTTCATAGCTGATTATTTGACTCCACCTGGAAGAATGGAGAGGGCACAGAGACCATGCTCAGTGGGAAACTCAGGGTTCAAGTATACATAATGTTATTGGACATAAGTCCCCTGCTATGTCCCTGAGCTCTGTGTAGACATAGATGCTCCAAAGGAGGAACAATCCCCCTCATGGAATGCTCCTCATTTTGAACCCACATTCAGGTGACACAGAGACAATCTGGACTTTGTCTGGCTTTGGTAGCTGCACGCCATATTGCTGGGTCAGTTTGTCTCTAAATATCTGTCACTAGTGAATTGAACAAATCACTCCTTTTTCTCCCACCTTACAATTCAGATGTGAAGAAGCCATGGAAATACCACCATTGACTGTTCTCATGTCTTCTTAAGTTTGGTAAATTCTCTGATGGAATAGGATATTTACAGACTTCTCATGTCCAATTTTATTTAGATGATTTTTGAGAAGAGGAAGACCCAGGCCCTCAGAGAAGATCCTGCAGCAGCTCCGTCTGCATCATTTACTAGGGCACTGTCCTTGAACCTGTGGTTTCCATGTGTTCCCTGATGTCTGCCAGTTCCGTACAATGGGGGATCCTGTTTGGGCTCACAGGCCATGGATTTGTCATGGCTGAATGCTGACTTCAGGATACTTCTTGGGGACACCAATTGCTTCAACATTACTGGACACAGGAAACCAGGTGTAATAATCCCCTGAGGCACTGCATGAAGCCCAGTAACCAGAGCTCTATGAATCACCAGGGGACACCTTACCTGGAGCTTCCAGGTGCCTGACACAGCCAACAGCTCTGAGGCCAGAACCTCTCAGGGCCTTTGTGTGCCTCTCATGTGCTCCAGTTCCTCTACTTGAATTTCCCATCAGAGGGTCTCTGCACGTGATCCTAATTCAATTACACACCTATTGCTTAATGTATCACATGCACAAAAACATAGTGAGGATATTCAAAGTAATGGACACTGTATCACCCTTATCTCCTGTTCCAACCACAGGGGCAGCACCCCACATGGATTTTAGGCCTTGGTGTTTATTGTTAGGTGAGTGAGGTCAGCCCTGTAAGTGACACCGTGGCTTTTTATCTTTCCTGGATATCCCATCCTGTTGATTATATTTCTTTGTACCACTTGCCTTATGGAACTTAACACACAATCCTAGATAGAGACAGACTCACTGCTCCCTGACCAACTGCTGCACCTGTCAGCTGCTGCATTAACCACCACCTCTTCCTGCACCTGGGCCTCAGGTTCAACCTTCATGGACATTTCTGAACTGACAATGTCATCACTAGCGAGAACACAGAAACTGCTGGTCATTCCTGTGTCCTTTCCAAATATGGTCTTCTCTAGGGTCGGGTATGGAGGAGGTGTGGTGAGGTCCCACATGTGGACTCTGTGTCCTCCAATCAAGCAGCCCAGGAAGCACTGAGTCCTCACTATTTGCAGGGACAAACAAGAACTTCTGTTTTTGTTTTTGCTGTCTGGGGAATGTCACATGTGCCTACCACTTAAAAGTATTGAGAAAGTCTTATTTCCAAAGGACCTTCGATCTGTGCTAATTTATCAAACATGTGTCGGTTAAGTGTGCCACTGCATCATTTCAGTTAGTGTATGTTTATCCTCTGTATTGATCTTGTCATTTTAACGTATTATCACTCTTGGGACCTGTGTCAAGGAAACATCCTCCTTAGCATATGTGCACAGTAATTTGGTGAGGCAAATAAATATCTGTTTTTCTTCACTAAATGTATGTCAGGAACGTTTTCATGTAAGACACAAATTGCAGTTGGTTATTTTCCAAGATGAAGATGGAGAAAAATAATTTGCAAGATCAAACAATGAAGACCGGTACCCTGTGCTTGTCATCAGCTTAGTTTGTTGATGCAGTCACAGTGAGCTCTGGTGTCATGCAATAGTGCTCTATTCCATTATCAATAAATTCTCAGTCATCACAATACACCAGGACTTTCACTGATTTTCACAGTTCAAGGACACAGGGAATATTAGGAGACAGCTTTGCAAATTGCATTGTAACATTAAAGCGATTCTCTCTTTGTTTACCGAGTGCCTGACACTGTTTCAAGGAAACACATGTGGGCTCTGTATGGCACAGTTGGGCAATCTTGCATGCTCTGTGCTTTATGATAGCATTGGTAACAGTCCTCCAGGTAATGAGACCCAAAAATGATATTTGCATTTACACTTATATGGAATTGGTTCTCATATTAGAGCCAATGATCTGTCCCACAGTCCCATGAGGTGAGGGCTTCAAGCAGCAGACCCAGGACAGCTGCTGTTGTAACTCACCCTGGTGTGATGTCCGATGCCCAGGGTACCCAAGGCTTGAGGAGACTTCTCTCTCACATCTAAAATCCAGCACACAGGTTAGAATTACTTAATTTTCCCTTATTCTCTCTCTGATTGAGTCAGTCCCACCCTGGAGGGGAAGGTGCCCTCCTGTACTGGGGAAAATGATCTGTTTTTCTGACACCAATACAAAGGTAAATTTAACAGTAAATTAATTATGAAGAAGCCCAGAAATAACTTTCAGCCAGGTCTTTGGCCACATTGTGATCCAAAGTAAAATAAAAACCAACAGTCACAACAAAAGTAACTAAAAGAAGAGGTCAAAGTCAGAGATAATATGTATCTGGCCAATGCATTTAGGTGGAGAAGATGCATCCACTTTAGCCTCTTTCCTGGTGACCAGTTTCCTAGGTATTTACGTTTGGAATGTCAGATGGAGAGGGATCTTCTTGGACAAAGATGAAAATAAGCCTTAACCTGCATGTGCCCTGCACATAAACAATCCATAAGCCCTGAGCACTCCCTGCAGCCCAGCCCTCCTGTCTTCAGCATGGAGGTGAGTGTCTGGGATCACAGTGAGTTCCTCTCACTGTGTCTCTCACACACTAATACATGGCTGTGTCCTCAGCTGTGAGACTGCTCAGTGTTTAAATAAACTTGGCTCTCACATGTGTCCCTAGTGATGCTGAGATGGGATTTGAGCGTGAAGATATAGTCTTTACATCAAACACATCATATAGTAATGATAAATCCCAGGCCCTTCCCTGCAACTAGCATGTCCCCTGCACATCATACCTCAGTAAAGAGAATCCAGATACAGTGTAGGTGAGGGAGAGGGCCTGTGAGGGCTTCACCAGCCCTTGGCTGCCTCCTGCAGCTGTACCTAGGATAGCACACATGGTGACTAGGACCTTCAGCCCCTGTCAATCATGTGGTCTCAGCACCATCCTATAGGCCCTTGTCTGACATGTGAAACACTCAACATGGTGAGATTGTCACCAGGCACAGGAGGAGACCTAACAGTCTCATCTTCTCAAGCACAGCTCTGTCTTCCCCAGAGGGAAGTCTCAAATGAGGTGAGAGCTGCGAGCCCCCACAGCCCAAGGAACAATTTACCCTGGAGCTGCAAGAGGAATTTTCATGTGGGCCTACCTTTCCATTATGAGTGGGGAAGAATTGAAGTCAGGAACTCTGGTCAGTCTAGGAAACTTGTGAGTATGCCTCTTCTCTTGAGTTCCCTCACCATTGTTTCATGGATAGGTGATCACCTGGTTTATGGGAGATAATGAAATGAGGTTGAAGGACAACCTCACTTTCCTGGGAATAAGCAAAAATGCAACAGTAGATGAGTAGGTGATAATTTTACATTCCTATGCATCTTTCTGACAGATTCAAAAAGGATTACCACTTGCTCAGAGAGTTTCTGTAACCCAACATTTAAAATTGACTACAATTACCAAATTTTTATCATTGTGGTTTTATGTAGACATAACGCTTACCTTGATGTAAACATTTTAAAAATAAAGCAATCCTGTCTCAATATATTTTTTTCTTTATTTATGATATTATTTATATGTGAATAACTTCACCCTAAGCACAGGCTAGAGAGAGTCACAATTATTTATTTTTGGAAGATATTTCCCCCCAATCATGTTTTATTTATTTATTTTTTAAAATTTATTTATTTTTTCAAATACATTTGTCTCTGCCTTCCCCCCACCACTTTCCCTTGCCCCCTCCTTCCCTCTCTCCCTCCCTCAACTCTTCCCCTTTGGATTTGTCCATGAGGCCTTGCTATATGTTCCTTGACTTTCCCCTTCCCTTCCTTTTCCCCCTCCCCCCTCCCTCCTTCCCTCTTGTCTCTGTTGGTTTCTTTTACTTTCAGTGTTGCTGGTCATATTTTCCTTGCATCTTTGTATTGTTGGTTAGGTTCCACTTATAGGTGAGATCATATGGCATTTGTCTTTTGCCCCCTGGTTTATTTCGCTTAGCTTAATGCTCTCGAGTTCCATCCATGCTGTCGCGAAGTTTAGTAGTTCTTTTTTTCTTTCTGCTCTGTAGTATTCCATTGTGTAAATGTACCATCGTTTTTTGATCCAATCATATACTGATGGGCATTTAGGTTGCGTCCAACACCTGGCAATTGTAAATTGTGTTGCTATGAACATTGGGGTGCATAGGTTCTTCTGAATTGGCATTTTGGTGTTCTTAGGGTATAGTCCCAGCAGGGGAATCACTGGATCAAGAGGCAGTTCCATTTTCAGCTTTTTGAGTAAATTCCACATTTGATTGTGGCTAAGGACCATGTGCAATCTCATCCCTTATGCATACTCATAATATAATGCAGAACCTCTAAATTAATTATGTATGTGTGCTACTGAGAATTCTCTGTATGACAAAATGATTATGGCAGTGGTTAAACTGATCTATTTTTTCAACCTAGTGTTGTCAGCAAGAATAGTGTTCAGAGGGACAGAAATGAGTGGGATTCTTAGCATAGATTTGCTCACAGGAAAGGGAATTCACTCTGACAGGAACTCTTCACTCCCAGAC